TGAACATTGAGACAGGCTTGGCATCTGTCTTTGACGGTAGCAGTGGCAGAGCGGCACTGAATAGCTAAATTGTTTCACATGCTTGAATAATTCTTCCTTGTAAAGAATTAATGTCATTAACCGGCTTTTCGTAGAATTTTTGTTTAATAGTATCCCAAGCAAAAAAATCCAATGGTCCGTCAAATCCGTCAAAGACAGATGTCAAGCCTGTCTCAATGTTCAAGGCCGTCACTTTAAATTTATAATTAAGTAAAAATTTTCATATTTTTAATAATAAAGTATTTGAAGCACACTATTAAATTATTTATTATAACCCGATAACAATTTCATAAAATTGTATAATGAAAAATGTTTAGATGTCAATATCTCTTAAACAAAGCGTTTACGGACATGTCTCCAAACGAAAGTTTTTTCTTGTTTTGAGGTCCTAAGTTCATATTTTAAGATAGGACACTTTACCCTGAAACACCCTGTATATACATTGTGTTCACTACGTTCATTGGTTACATCACTTTGCACTCATGAAGAATAGTACAAGAGAGCATCTTTCAAAGAAAAGATAAGTAATCTTATACGAATGTATAAACTTATTCGTGTTTATAACAGCCTATGTTTTCTTCTTACGAGAAAGTCTTATGCCGCGCGTCCCTCTAGTGAGGACATTCCGAGCCACTTCACTTTTGATTACCATGTGATTAGGAAGGTGGATGATAGAAATGTAGTTAAATTTACTATTATTGTGATTGTATTTACTATATAAAAATAATTAACTGATTTATTATTCATATCATCTGGATATTTTAATAGAAAAATAATTCAAAGTTTATATTTTACAGTAAATTTTTTAAATAGTTGGCATCACTGTGTGTCTATATGGTTGCTATTACTAATATTATAATAATAATTACTATTAAAATGATATTCCTGACTATAATTATTTTACTATGCAATTGTAGTTTCAAATACTACATATTTTTCTATCGGTGTATCGCGGGCATTCAATTAATGCACCTCTGTCTTGTTGCATCGAGAAACAGACATAATTTGTAATAATATTTTTGACACTCTGCAACTCGATAAAATACTTTCTTAAAAAAAAATACAACGCAATTGCTAAAAAGTATATAATTTGCTTACAAGTAATTTCTTTATTTTCCTACGAGTTTTTCTTTACCGAATACGTGACTTTGAAGGGAGCCATAGGTAAATTTTCTTGAAGTGGTTACAATTCTTAGTAATTTTGTTTTGGCAAGAAATTCTTTTCGCAGTCTCGATTACGTTAATACCATTGGTATTAATTAGCCCGTGGTCATTTTCCTCAAGATTGCAGGCTCCATTTTCGTCATCGACGGATCGGGAATAGATGAAGTCCGTCGCAACGCCTTGGCTCGATAACGTCCGGCCACCGGCGCCGATCACATTTAATTTTGATAAAGAAGATTTATAAATATGAGATCGCACGTTGCCGCGATTGCTGCCGTTTCGCCGACGGTAGCGGCGGCGGCGGCTTTTATTTTTCCAGAAATACGAAATCCAATTCTCGATAAGACCGGCTTACGTAGAAACTGTCCCGCTTCTCTCTTTTTCATTCTCTTGCAGTCTATTCCTCATATCGCGATCGCTATATATATCTCTCGCCAGCCGCGTTCGGGAATGTCATTCCGGAGAGAAGCGACGGTGGCTTTTCCCCGAATATACGAGATTCTGACCGGCATATTTGACACGTGCCACTTAACGCGGATCGTTCGTGAGATGCGAAATTACGTCGCCTTTTTAAGTCGGGCCGGGTCTGAAAATTTCGCGAGACTCGAAACGACGACAAATTCCTCTGTCTTCAATTTCTCCGCAAGAATCGGAATAATCTTTCTTATGATTCCGGCATTAGCGTGGAGTTCGTCACGCAGATCTGTAGTCGAAGGAGACAGACATTTGGAAAAAGTGGAACAAATGACAGCGCGTTTTACGTACAAGCTGGAACTTGCTACGAGTGGATCTGATTGATATCAATATTGAGATATTTTAATCATTTCGATTACACACGACTGTCGGTGAGAACGTACACAGTCGCAGCAATATTTCGACGATATTACAAAACTTTTGCAGAATATACTTCATTCCCCAGTGATGCAGTACGCATGCAACATTTTAATTAAAATGTTGGACAAACAAATGTTGATATAAATCAAACAGTCCAACGTAGTCGGTAACTGGAGTGAAATATATTCGAACATTTTCCACGTTTGCTTATATACAATGGCGGTGAATATAATAGTTAATAAATAATATATATATGTATACAATATATGTATATAATATAATAAATTCATGCAATTGATAAATCTAAATATTCGCAATACAAATCTTAGTTTGCTAAATTACAATTGTTATTTTTAATTCGAGCGTCGACGCTAATTACGCCGGCACGTAAAATGTTGTTCAATTTACTTTACAAACGAAACGAAACGGAAAAATAATTCTTCATTAATTGCACAATAATGTACAATTTTCTGGGACAATAAAATGAAGGCAACAAGATAATCCATTATATGTATATAATAGATATTCATTACGTATGTAATTGCACGCGAATGTACAACCACAGAAAAGATTCCCGAATCCGATGTTATTGCGCTTCAATCTACCATAAAATACGGTCGATATAGCGACGATCACACGCGAAGAGAATTTTCTCTTCAAATTTAGCCTGAAAATCATGTAATCACGGAACAACGCGGCGTTTCGAAGAATTTTATGAGATTTTTTTACATTTTACTAATAGAATATGCGGTGAAACTTCTTAGGATAAATTTTAAAAGGAAATTCTCGTGCATTTATTATTGACAAAGGATTTTTTAATGAAAAATTCTTCAATCTAGACATAGTGATGTCAGTGCGTGCGTTATAAGTTGTAACAGACAGAAAAAAGATTGTATACTGTTAAATTTATGTGTTACCCCTTCAATCTAAATAGATACCTTATTTAGTTCGAGAGAAGAGAATAGGAATTATCAATTCTTAATATCGTTTTTTCTCCACATGAGAGTTTTTTCTTAAAATTTATCCTGAAAATCGTGTAATCGTGGCATTTCCAAGAATTTTACGAGACTTTTTGAAATTTTACTAGTAGAATGTACGGTAAAATTTTTCAGGATAGGATAAAGAAAATTCTCGTGCATATATTATTGACAAAGGATTTTAAATGAAAAATTCTTAAATCCAGAACAAAAGTGATGTCAGTGCGTGCGTTACAAGTTGCGACAGACAGAAAGATTTTATACTCTTAAAATTATGCGCTACTCTTTCCGTCTAAATAGATCAACCTCATTTAATTCGAGAGAGGAGAATGGCAATTATTGATCCTTAAATTGCTTAATTCTTTTACCACGTGAGATCGCGACAAGTTGAAACGCGTTCGAGAATATTTCCCGTCGCGTCGGAAATCTTCTCCAAGAGGATAACAATAAGGACACGTTACTGCCGGTGCACTGAACGCTCATAATAATATTTGCAGGACCTCATGACGAAGAGCAAGCAGCGGTATCGGTGGCGTCTGCTGGCCTGCGGCATCGTCATTATAATTGTGCTGGCCCTGGTGATCGCGGCGGCGATCCTTCTGACCGGCAGCCCGGATTCCACCGCGTCTCGAACGAACGGCGCACCCGGCATTTCCCTGGAGGAATGGCTCTCCGGTTCGTTATCCCCCAAGAGCTTCAACGGCACGTGGATCAGCGGTAAGCACCACCGGTTCGCCTCCGTTCGCCCTCGCGCGCGCGCGCGCGCGCGTAAATCCTCCTCTCGGTTCCGCGAAGGAACCGCCCGAAGAAAGAGAGGAAAACGAGATTAAAGCTCCGTCAATTTTATTTCCCGCGAATCCGACTTTCGAAATGAGCTTCTCCCTTTTGACGCCCACCGAGTCTAATTAAGCTCCGTTACTCAAACGGATTTGAGGCGCGAGTAACGCGCGTGGTGGTTTAATACGTTGGACACGGCGGGTACGTACAGAGGTAGCTTGTTTAACGGAGGTGGATTCATTTCCTATGTGAAATGAGGTTTACGTCGAAGAGGCGCAGATTAAGCGCCAAGTTGCGAGGCAAAATTGCATAAATATAGGGACGCGAGTCCCCCACTTTTTTTTTATCTACAGATAACGATACGCATTAGTTTTCACGGATTATGCATCGGGGCGCGCGAAAGGCGCCTTTTTAACGTCACACGTCGGATATCGACGGTTTTACAGCGCTGTGAATAAAACATTTCGACGTTCTCCCTCGCTGGTGTTTGATAATCGAGAAAAAGAAGCTTTGCAAAGAGTTCGATTATTTAATTGTTTCGGGCGCTCGAAATTCTTCTGAAATTTCAACACGGCTCGTTTGCACGCTCTTCAGCAATAACAATTAACGGATAACAGCCGCGCGGCGTAAAAACGTCGCTTCAAATGAGACTCGAGCGGCATAGCTCGTTTGCCGATACGTTAATGTCGCTCATTGTCCGCGTCACGCGAATCTTTCTCCAAGCACGCCGGTAGGACGCTTTTTGCGCGCGCGCGCCGGTTTCGACGTGCGTGCAATTTTCCGGTTTTGCCGGCGCGATAAAATTATCATATATCATAAATTTCGCGCGCGAGACAAAAGTCGCCTCGCGGGAGAGTCCCCTCTTTCCGCGGCAGCGGCACGTCAAATTGTATCACGTCAAATTATATCACGAACGTATGTCAGAGTTCGTCCGCGGATTCTCTCTCCTGCCCGCGCCCGGCGTATTATGTAACATCAAAAGAGGATAATAAATGATTCACGCGACGTGCGGACGCGCGAGAGCGGATACAACCGCGTCGACGAATATTTATATCGCCCCTTTTTCGCGCGCGCGCGCGCGGCCACCGAGGCGTGCAGTTCAAACTAATTTTATATTTGAGGCGGGCGCGGGCTATTCTACTTCATTCGCGGATCCATTTGTCTTTGTTACGGCGCGACCGCCGACATCGCTGTCGGCCTATAAATCCTTTCGTCAGGTTGGGAACAAAAGACGGGTTTTAATGGATTTACGCGAGCGGCCAGTATCTTCCCACTATCGCTTAATTCTTTTTGCCCGAAAACCGTCATCCTCCCCCCCTCCATCCCAACCCTCTGCCCACAGGGCTCCGCGTTAACAGCCCTCTTCGCGGACGTGCGGAGTAATTCCGACCGGCGTGAAAATCCGGCGGGGATTTTCCGGCGCCGGGGATCGAAATTAAACGCCCGAAAATTGTCGCGCACACGCGCTCCCACTTGGAACCCGCGCGTCGAAAACAGCCCGTGAATATTAGGTCGTCCATTAAGGAATAACCGTTCTTTCCCGTTTTTCTCGCTGTATTAGGTTTTCATGGGTTCCAGGGTCCGTACTTTCATTGAAACCTCTCCCACGGAGCTCCGTTGGAGGGAACAATGTGATTTAGTTGGAATGTTATGTATTTCTGCGTATATTCCACTTAGGTTAGTATTATATTTGTAGTACGACACATTTTTTACGTGCGTTAATTGTCCGCAGGATAGTAAAATTCGCGGGAACCTAGAAATTTTCTATCCAGCAGCCAATCGACGCGCTTGAAAAATTTGTCTTACGACAGATGCAATGCCAGTCTCAGGGCCTGAGCGAAAAGATTGTCGTAACCGTTTACGATTCTGCCGTGAGATTTCAGTCGGTGTCCAAAGTCAACGTACAAAGAATTGTCACAGACGTAAATGTCGCATTCGTCGCATCGCAAGGCGACATAAGGACCGTGCTCTGCCATCAGCCTAAGAGCCTGAGCAGAAAGATTGTCGTAACCATTTACGA